GGATTCCCCTGGAACTGGAGTTAAGGACAGTTCGTAGCCGCCATGTGGGTGCTGGAAATCGAACCTGGGTCCTCTGCAAGAGCAGTCAGTGCTCTTAGCTGCTGAGCCATCTTCCCAGAACCTTTTTAAAATTATTTTTATTTTATGTGTATGAGTGTATTGTCTGCATGTTTGTAAATGAACCCATGTTGTGCAATACCTGAGGTGTAAGTGCACCCATGCCATGCAGAAAAGGGTGTTGTATCCCCTGGAACTGGAGTTATGGTTGTTAGGTACCATGGGTGCTGGGACCTGAACTTGGATCCTCTATAAGAGCAGTCAGTGTTCTTAACCACTGGACCATCTCTCCAACCCCTATTAAAGTTTTTTTCTTATTTTTTTTTTATTTTTAAAAGATTTATTTATGCTGGGGCTACAGGGAGACCCTGTCTCAAAAAGACCAAAATAAAAGATTTATTTACATGAATGTGAGTTTGATCCCCAGCACCTGCATAAAAAGCTGGGCATGGCAGCACACATTTCAATCCCAGTGCTAGGGAGGCAGAGACAAGCAGATTCTATGGTTCACTGGCCAACCTGCCTAGCATAATGGATGATCCCCCGGTCCCAGTGAGAGACCTTGTCTCAGAAAACAAGGTGAGCTTTAGTGGCTCAAGCCTTTAATCCCAGCATGCAGGAGGCAGAGGTGGATCTCAGTGAGATCAAGGCCAGCCTGGTCTACATAGTGAGTTCCAGGACAGCAGGGGCTACAGGGAAACCCTGCCTCAGAAAGACAAAAACAAAACAAAGCACAAGGCTAAGGGGGCTGGAGGGGAAGTGCTCAGTGGTTAAGAGCACTGGCTGCTCTTGCAGAGGACCTAGGTTTGGTTCCCAGCACCCACCTGGAGGCGAACAACCATCTGTAACTAAAGTTCCGAGAGATCTGATGCCTTTTTCTAGCCTCCGCAGGCTCCTGCACATGTGTGGTACACATAAACTCACATAGGCAAACACATATACACATGGCATAAATGTGTAAAAAAATCCTTTTCTTTCTTTTTCTTTTTTGTTTTGGTCTTATGCCCAGCATGTAAAGTACTTTATCAACTGAGCCATCTCCCCCTGTGATAAAGTCTTACTACATAGCTCAGGCTAGCCTCCAATTCTTCCTCAGCTTTCCCAATACTGGCATAACACCACCACACCTGGCCTTCCACATTTCTTTCTCAAATGTGTCAGGGTCATTGGAGAGGGCTGACTCAGGGAAGGCCTGTCTGAGGAAGAACTTTTGAGCATAAATGAAGAGTGAGCAGTACAGATCATCAGGGGCAAGTATTCCACTCAGAAGGAACAGACATTGCACAGTCTCTGAGGTGGGAGGATAGTTAAGCTGCCTGAGGAAGAGCAGATGCCTGCAGCAGAGGGTGTCAGAAGGAGGGCTGTGACCAGACTCAGGTGTGGATGTAATTCCTCTGGCTGAGTGTGGGAGCTGAGTTGGAACCCAACAGTCTCAGGAAGTTGAGGTGGGGGGAGGGAGGTGCCACAGTGGTAAGAGATGAAGCGACGGGGTGGACAGGGCAACGTGGAGTCAGACTCAAACCATTCCAGAGGCAGAGCGGACAGCATCTCTGACCATCTGGAACTCCAGTGGAGAGAGAATTCCTTGCAAGGGAAGCATTCACAGCCAGCTGGATCTTTACACCTCCTAGAGGGGCCATGCTGGGTGGTCAGCGTTGGTACCTCAGCCAGAGACCTGACTGTCCTCTGTCCCTTTGCTCTTCAGTCTGTACTGACAACAACCACGTACGGACGTGGTCGGTGACCCGCTTCCGAGGCATGATCTCCACCCAGCCTGGCTCCACTCCACTTGCATCCTTCAAGATCCTGGCATTGGAGTCTGCTGACGGGCATGGTGGATGCAGTGCTGGCAACGACATTGGTGCTTGCTGACCCCTGACCCTTGACCCTTCTGCACTGACTTGCCTCAGCCCCACCAGATCCCACTGACTCACTAGCCTGACCCCTATAGACCTCTGCCTACCCGTTCAACTGCCCTGATTGGCTCCCACCCCCACTGATTGTTGACCCTTGTTCCCCTCCACTGACTTCATGTGAAGACCTGTTGTCTGGTCCCCCGGCCATCCCTGTTGACCTCTGTGGGTCCATTGATTCCCACTGACTAGCACTGGTCAGGTTACCATCTCCACAGACCCCTGCAGACTGCCAGCTCAGCCATCAGTGCCTTGGGATCTGGAGTCCCAGTAGACCCTGGCTGGCCCTGACCTTGCCCCTTCCTATCCAGGTCCCTATGGTGAGCGGGATGACCAGCAGGTGTTCATCCAGAAGGTGGTGCCAAATGCCAGCCAGCTGTTCGTGCGCCTCTCATCCACTGGGCAGCGGTAAGGACTGTCTCATCGTGTGCGGGGGATGGGGGTGTGGTTTCCCAGCCAAGGGGCCCTGAGGAGAGGGGCTGGAGGGATCAAAAGTGTGACCAACCTCAGATGGAGAGCCCAGGCAATTGAATGAGTTGGGGATACAAGTGGATTGTTGGGGTGAGGTGTGGGTACAGTAAGAGGGTGGGATCGAATGGGGTGCAAAGAGAGGGCTGGAGGTTAGGTTTCCGGGGTGTGCAGAGGTGAGGAATGGGCACCCAGGAGTCTATAGGAGTCAGAGCAGGTGTTTGCTTGCACCTGGGAAGAGCGCAGGAACAGAAGATATGTCAAGGCTGGTAGAGCCACACAAAGTGACAGGCTGGTCCTTGTGTAGAACAGCCAAGGTCTTTCCTGAGTGCATGGGCATTATGGCTGTGTAGGAGGATGACAAGAGGCCCAGAGCCCAGGGAGCCCAAGAGCCTGGTAGAAGATGGGGTGAGACAGTGATTTGAAAGATGCTGAGTGGCACATGCTCTGGATGAGATTCAGTGGGAACAGGGACAAGGAGGGGATGTGGGGAGGGTCCTGAGGCCCCCTGAGATTCATAGAATGTGTGGTTGGGTGTCCAAGATGCTAAAACAAAAGTAGATTAAAGGAGCTGGTGATGTAGCTCAGTGGGCAGAGTGCTTGTCCAGCATGCACGAAGCCTTGAGTTTGGTCTCTGGCATTGAATAAACTGGGTGTAGTGATGCACACCTGTAATCCCAACACTCAGCAAGTAGAGGCAGGAGGACCAGAAGTTCAAGGTTGTCCTCAACAACGTAGTGAGTTGGAAGCCAGGCTGGCCTATATGAGACCCTCTCTCAAAACAAAGTAGATGGGGATGCTAAGGATCTGGGTGGGCACTGGAGGGGCAAGGCCAGAAACCTCAGTGGTGAGACTGACCCAGGAAGGGTGTTAAAAGAGGGACCAGGCTGCACCCTGTATGGTCCAGGTGATCCCTGACCCCTTTTACTCCACAGTGTGTGCTCCGTGCACTCTGTGGATGGCTCTCCCACGACCGCCTTCACTGTGCTGGAGTGTGAGGGCTCCAGACGCCTTGGCTCCCGGACCCGGCGCTACCTGCTCACAGGCCAGGCCAATGGCAGCCTGGCCATGTGGGACCTGACCACCGCCATGGACGGCCTGGGACAGACCCCTGGTACTCCCTGCCCAACTTCCATCGTGTCCCCAGCCCCACCCTCAGCGTGATCTCTTTTCCCAGGCCCCTGCCCTCTGACCTGTTTGCCTTTTTCCAACCTTTCCTCTCCAGCCCTTCCTTACTGTCGGCTCCTCCTCTTTCTTAGCCTCTTGACTCCATCCAGCTCTGTATACTTTCTTCTACACCATCCCGAATGCTCTTAGCCTGTGACCCCCATCTTGTCCCCTGACCCTGTTTCCTTGCCTCCCAGCAGGTGGCTTGACAGAAGAAGAGCTGATGGGCCAGCTGGAGCAGTGTGAACTGGCCCCACTGGCTTCCTCCCGGGGCTCTTTCCCCAGCCCCTCACCTAGGGCCTCTCTCACCAGGTACCTGCAGTTCCACTCCCCTCTCAGTGCAGTGGACACAGCACAGTAGCCTTGGGGGAAGGGTGGCCCACTGTCCCATGATGCTGGGGCACTGAACCCTCCCCTCTTCAGTCTCCACTCAGCCTCCAGCAACACCTTCCTGTCTGGCCGTAGAGCTAGCCCCAGCCCACCGCAGGCAGAAGCCCGTCGCCGAGGGGGAGGCAGCTTCGTGGAAAGGTGCCAGGAACTGGTGCGGAGCACACCAGAGCCCCGGAGGCCACCAACACCAGCCCCTCGGCCCTCCACGAGTATTGGGACTCCCCTGATACCTCACAAGAAGGCTCTCAATGAAACTTCCTTTTGAACCCAGCTGCCATGATGCCTTTGAATACCCTAGTACCAGGGGACTCAGGGGCCTCCTGGCTTCCTGTAGGAGCCTTAGATTCAGGCTCAGGACCTCATTGAAATGGTTATTGTTACTAAACCCCTATTTTCTGCCTCTTTTTGGAAAACCAAAGTCACCTTCACCAATAAAATCCTCACTGCCAACACTTTGCGTTCTTAAGTTTTTGAGGTGGCCTTCAAGGAAGAGATGGAAATGTAAGAAACAACCAACTTCCAGGTTTTAATTCAGAAACATCCGATCCCTGGTTTTAGCAAACAAGAGAATATACTTGCTTACCCTCTCCTTTTACGCATGGCTGGATCCAGGGGTTCAAACACCTAGAATGACTTTCCACTTCTTGCCTTTCTTTTTTTATTATAATTATTTTTATTTTATGTATGTGAGTGTTTTACCTGCATGTATGTAAGCACACCACATGTGTGCAATGTGCATGGTGGCCAGAAGAGGGCATTGGATCCCCTGGAACTGGGGTTACAAACAGTTGTGAGCCATGTGGGTGGTGGGAATCGAACCCAGGTCCTCTGCAGGAGCAGCCAGTGCTCTTAACCACTGAGCCATCTCTCCAGCCCCTGGCCTTTTCTTCTGGGATGCTTTATCTGCAGTCATGTTTTCCCCTTTCTGTGACAAGATGATACCAGAAAGCTTCTGTTCCAGTTTGTCTCTCCATTGCTATGACAAAACACTCTGACCAATACCAACTTGGGGAAGAAAGGGTTTATTTGGCTCATATCTCTCAGGTCACAGTTCATCACTGAGGGTGCCCAAGATAGTATGAAACTAAGGGCAGGAACCTGGAGGCAGTAGCTTAAACACAGACTGTGGAGGAATGCTGCTTACTGACTTGCTCCCCTGGCCCATGCTCAGCCTGCTTTCTTTTTTTAAAATATTATTTTTATTTTATGTGTATGAGTGTATTGTCTGCATGTATGTGAGTGCACCCGTGTCGTGCAATGCCATGGAGGTCAGAAGAGGGCTTCAGATTCCCCTGGAACTGGAGTTAAGGATGGTTCATAGCCTCCATGTGGGTGCTGGGAATAGAACCTGGGTCCTCTGCAAGAGCGGTCAGTGCTCTTAACTGCTGACCATCTCTCCAGCCCCTCAGCCTGCTTTCTTATACAGTGCAGAACAACCTACCCAGGGGTGGCACCACCCGCAGTGGACTGGGCCATCAAACATCACCCAAAAATCAAGAAAATACCCCACAGGCATGGCCACAGGCCAGTCCAATGGAGGCAATTCCCCAAATGAGGCTCCCTCTACCCAGGTGTGTCAAGTTGACACTAAAGCTATCCAGCACAACTCCTTCCCTGTTCCTTCCTTCCTTCCTTCCTTCCTTCCTTCCTTCCTTCCTCTTCCTTCCTTCCTTCCTTCCTGCCTTCCTGCCTTCCTGCCTTCCTGCCTTCCTTCCTGCCTTCCTGCCTTCCTGCCTTCCTTCCCTGTCTCCTTGCTTCCCTTCCTTCTCCCGCCATCCTTCTGTCCTTCCCTCCCTTCCTTTCTTCTTTACTTTTTTCCTCCTTGCAGCAAAAAACATCTCAGAACTGAGCTAGATGTGGAGGCACACACCTGTAATGCCAGCACTCAGGAGACTGAGGCAGGAAGATCTCAGATTGTGGTGGTTAATATTGTCAACTTGACAGGATCTAGAATCTCCTAGGAGACAAGCTTGAGGAGGAATCTAGATTAGGTTAGCCTTGTGCATGTCAGTGAAGGATTGTCCAGATCAGGTTAACTGATGTGGGAAGACCCACATGGAATGTGGCAGTGCTGTTCATGGGCCGGGGTACAAGGCCCAATAAAGAGAAAGGGAGCTGAGCACCAGCATTCATCTCTCCGATTCCTGACTGCATAGAAAATGTGACCACCTTCCTGATGCCTCTGTTGCCGTGACTTCCCCACCATAATGGATGGACTCCTGAACCACCAAAATAAACCCTTAAGTAGCTTTCTTTTTCATGGTTTTTCTGTAGTCCCAGCTGGCCTTGGGACTTGCCTTGAAGGCAAGGCTGGCCTTGAACTCACAAGAGATCCAACTGCCTCTGCCTCTGCCTCCCAAGTGCTGAGATTAAAGGTGTGCACCACCAAACTCACCCCCCTTAAGTCGCTTTGCCAGATATTCTGTCATAGCAACAAGATAAGAAAGTAATAAATTGCCAGGCGTGGTGGCGCATGCCTATAGGTTGTAGGTCTCAAAAAGACTAAACAAACAAACAAACCCCACAGGATTGGTTTTCATGGGTTTGAACTGAGTTGGGTGACCATTCTCTCTTTTTTGGGGGGGGGCATCTTTTTGACACAGGGTCTCCCTGTAGTCCCATCTGGCCCAGAACTCATTATATAGACCAGGCTGGCCTCGAACTCCCTCCCAACCTCATAGGTCTTTGGGATACGCCTGCCATCATGTCTGTTCCAGATGTAACAACTTCATCTGGAAGTTTTTACATCTTTTCCTTAGCTCAATGAAGAGGAAAGAAAGACTAGGGGCAAGGGGTTTTAGAATATGCCAATTCTGGGGCTGGAGAGATGGCTCATCAGTTAAAGAGCACTGGCTGCTCTTGCAGAGGCCCTGAGTTCAATTCCCAGCACTGACATTATGGCTAACAACCATCTGTAGCTCCGACTCCAGTTCTAGGGGCTCTGATACCCTCTTCTAACCTCTGTGGGCATTGCATGACACAGGTGCACTTATATACATGCAGGCAATATTCTCATACACATAGAATAAAAATAATAATATATATGAATATGCCAATTCTAGAATTCCAGTTTCTAGAATGCCAGAGTTCCTGAAGCAGTGCAGAAGGGTCCAGAATGCCAGGGAGTCCAGAAGCCAGGGTTGTTATGGAATGTTAGTGTATTAGCAATACTAGAGTTGTCGCCTGCACAGCATGGAATCCAAACTGCATGTTTCCGACAAAAACACCTAGAAAAGGACCAGAGTGGTGAACTGACAAGTAAAAGTGCTTGCCATACGAGCCTGAAGGCCTGAGTTTGAGCCCTAGAACCCTCCTGGAAAGATGGATTCCATTACTCACGTCTGTAATCCCAGCACTCCCACGCTGAGTTGGGAGGTAGAGACGGAGAATTGGTCAGAAGCCTCTGTGTGTGTGTGTGTGTGTGTGTGTTGTGTAGTGCAGGGGCAGAAACGAGAGATGCTGTGTCAGTATTAGGTGAAAAGAGAGAATCGGTTCCCAAAAAATTGTCCTCTGACCTCCACACTAATATCAGGCTGTGGTATAACACTCTGCCCCGCCCCCCGGCCTCTACTACTTAAAAAAATTTTAAAAAGACTTAGGTCTGGAGAGACAGCTCTATGGTTAAGAACACTGATTGCTCTTCCAGAGAACTCTGATTCAGTTCCCAGCACCCACATGGTGGCTAACTGCATCTCCCTCTTCTGGCCACCACAGGCTTTGCATTTACATACTTACAGGCAAACCACTCATACACATAGGCAGAGGTCAAGGGATGGTACCTGTAAATCACTATCAGAGTTCTAAATATTAGAGAATACAGAAAGGAATGTGGATTTCTTTGATGCAGAGAGAACAGGAGGTATTCTGGGCTCTCAGCCCTTGCAGGACACCAGAGAAGTTGTTCCCAGTTCAAGAAATCTGCATGACCACAACCCCAGTGCTGCCCCTCAAACTGGAGGCTGAGGCAGGAGGATCAAGAGTTCAAGGTAATCCTCAGCTACATAGTAAATTCCAGACCAGCCTGGGCTACTCAAAACCCTGTCTCACCCTTCCCCACCCCTACAAAAGTCAAAGTGGCAGGGAGTCTGGATTGTCAGTAAGTCCTGAAGACAAATGAGAAATCTAAAAGGCCAGTGATTCTAAAACCTGAGTGTTTTGGAATGTCCACGGATCTCAAAGTCTGGGATTCTTTTTCTTTTAAATGCCAAGACATTTAGAACACTGGGTCATGTGTGAATGGTAAGAGTTATAGAGAGGGGGGCTGGAGAGATGCCTCAGTGGTTAAAAGCACTGACTGCTCTTGCAGAGGACCTGGGTTTGATTCCTAGCACCCACATGGCGGCTTCTAACCGTCCTTAACTCCAGTTCCAGGGGAATCTGACGCCCTCCTCTGACCTCAGCGGCACTGCATGACAAGGGTGCACTCACATACATGCAGGCGATACACTCATACACATAAAATAAAAATAAAAAATAATTAATTAATAAAATATTTTAAAAAAGAGTTACAGAGAGGACATGGGATCTACCATGTCAGGAAATCTAGCCTGCTTGGTAATTATCCCAGGTCTTGAACACTGAGCTCATTTTTCCATGCCAGAGAACTCTTATGATCATGATTCTAAAAGAAATAGTGTGTTATCAAAATGAAGAGGGTTTTTTTTTTACACTATGAATAAAATAATATGTGGAAGAGAGAGCAATGTGGAGAAGATTCTGGAAAGCAGCAGTCTAGCGCTCTGGGGGACTTCTGAAAGGTTCAGATCAGACCAGAATCTGTGGAATAACATAAATGTAATATAAAAATAGTAAAGATTAAGGCTGGAAACTCCAAATTCTGGGGGGGAAGGGAAGCCAATGCCATCCCCGGAAGTCGCAGTGGTGAGCCAGAGGCTGTTGCCTAGCAACGAGCATTGACAATGCCCTGGATCTCAGGCAGAAGGGAGAAATTTCGGCAGCGCCCCCAGCAAATGCTCCAGCCACAGGGTAGGATGTGGGGAGTGGGGGCACAGGTGAGGGGCGTGCTGTCCCTCAGGGTCACGTGAGCAGGGGTTTGGGGGGCCACATAAAGACAGGGTCATGGAACACAGTGGGCAAAGCCAGTACTACATCATCGCACTGGGTCAGCCCAAGAATAGCAATGAATAAGTCGTGAACGCCATCGTTACTGTTCCTGGGGCCCATATGCCCTTGGACAGTGGGTAGGCCCTGATTTCTAGGTGTCAGTGTGGGATGGAGGTATGAACCGCTGGGGGTGGCAGTCATGGTGTGAACGTGGCAGTGTGAGTCAGCCTGTGTAGTTCTTTGCATCGAGGGATGAAAGGTGCATGCTGTACACCTTCCGTTGGAAGGAGTGGGCTTGGATAGGACGAAGCTGGATCATTTCCTGTGTGTAGTCTAAGGAGGGCTGTGCAGTTAGAGCCTGTGGCCCTAGTACTTTGTGTACACAGACCCAGTACAGCTGGGGGCGGGGCCAATGCTGTAATCAAACTATATGCTCTAATTAAACTGCTAGCTGGGTGTGGTGGTACCTGCCACACGTGGGAAGCAGAGGAAGGAGGACCAGGAATCCAAGGCCAATTCCAAGCAAATTCAAGGAAAAAAGGAATCAAACTGCAGAAAGAGCTGGGAACTCCGAAGTGAGGCAAACATGGAAAGGGTGGGGTTTGGGATACTAAGTGTGAAACTGCCCCCCTGGGAAGGAAGGTGACAAGTGACGAGGGGTAGAGGTCTAAAGCCCTGGGGATTTGTGAGGCTGAAAAGAGAGGGGGGAACTTGAGGTTTTGTTTGTCTGAGACAGGCTCTTACTATGTAGCCAGAGGCTGGCTTGCAACATGCTGTTAAAGCTGCTGTCCTGGAACTTGCAGAGATCGCTGTGCCTCTGCCTCCCAAGTGCTGAGATTTCAGGGCCATGCTGGAGTGGAACTTAAGTTTATAATGAAGGGAATAAGTTGGGCTTGAGACCCACTGAGTTAGGAGGTTGTGAATAGGGTTTAGAGCTTGGAACCCACTAAAGTTTGTGTGCGTCCGGCTTTGCTAAGCCCCTGTATCCTAGGGCTCCCCACAGTGGAGGAAAGGAAGGGGGTGTGGGTCTCCAAGAAGAAACTCGATTATTCTAGAGCTGTGAGTACTTTGGGGGTGGCTTTTGAAAAGTCAGGCAGGGAAGGGGTTCTGTACCACGTAGAGGCTGCTGCAGTGAGGGGTGTGGGAGGGGCAGATCCAGGAGTCCTCTGGAAGTGGAGTCTGGGTCAAGGGAGCCTGATTTCACTAAGGGGCAGAACTTGGGAGGGACAAGCTTTTGCAGATGGTGAGCCTGGGACAATGGACAGGGCCTTGGGAAGAGACTATCTTTCTGTTAGGCCTAGGGTGAGCCACAGAGGTGGGACCCGGGCCTGATGCAAGATTACTATTCCAATCCGGAAATCTTTTTTCGCCTGGATGTGGGGGCAGGGGAGGAACAAGTTACTATGAAGGCTGACCTGGAATTTACCATCTTTCTGTCTCATCCTGGACAAGTGTTGGGATTACAGGTGTGTGTCACCAGGCCCGGCTCATCAGCAAAATGAGGTCCCTTGCCTGGAAAGATGGCACCAATTATATACCAGCTAGACAGTTAAATTCGGACAGAATTGTCCCAGAACTGTGCACGACAGGAGAGGCCTGCTAGTCTGATTTGGAGGACCTAGACCCTCCCTGAGCATCCATTCCAGTGGAAACCACCCGGGTCAGTTGGGCCTTTGCTCTTGAGAGACTCTTTCAGTTAGTACCTGAGTCCGGACTCTTTTTTCCCCACGTCCTGAAGAACTCTAGGCCCCCAACCACCCCCGCCCGGCACCTGTCCGCTTAGCCCCTCCCCTGACGCCCCCGGATTGGCCGCGCAGGGAGCACCGGCAGCGCAGGGCTTTGATTGGCGGGAAGTTATGCAGCCCACGGCTTGCTTGGTGGAGAAAGTGAGTCGGCCTCCGGCTGGGGCGGAGGAGGGGGCGGGGCTGGGGCCAGGCTGATCTGGACCCACTGGACACACTGCCTGCCCGGAGCTGGACTCTGCACCCGACACGATGCGCTGGCCTGGTCGCTGCAGCCGCCGCCCCCTCATCCTGATGCTATTGCTTTCGGCCACCACCTCTGCTAACGACCCCAACCCCAGCCCCAGCCAGGCCGTCGAGGTCGCGGTGGTCCCGGGCCACCCGGCCGGGTAAGCCCTGCTGCGTTCTTTTCTTGTGTACGCTGCACCCAATAACTCTGCTGGTCCTGGAGAAGCAGGAATACAAACCAGATGCTTCGGTAGGAGGATGCAAAGGCCAAAGCTCTTGGATTTATTAGGAGCTCCTATTTTGTAGGGGTGAGAGTTCATTCGAAAAGTGATGAGATTTTGAAAGGAGGGGGAGTCCCTCCAGTCTGAGGGGGATAGATAAGGCTCCAGAGACCTCCCAAATTGATTGGGGGAGATACCCCCTCCCCCAGTTGATACCGGAATATGGCTTCGAATTCTCTTAGAATGATAGAGATGGAGGGGGAGCTGGATTTGCCCAAGTTTCTTGGGTATTCAAGAAAGAGACGTGTTGGAAGGTTTTGGCGAAACATTAAGGAAAAGGGATAAATTTTGGATGTATAAAGGATCTGGATTAATTTAAAAAGACTTGGATTTTTCTGATGGATTTGAAGGACGTGGGCTCAGGCTGCTGGCGGAGGGACTGGGGGAAAGTTGCATAGAGGTGCCTCAGGTTTTACCAGGATGAATGAATGACCCATGATTTCGCGGCGAGATCCAGGATATCTTAGAGATCGGGGGGTCATAGTCAACCATCTTGTCTGTGGGTGACAAGGGCGAAGGAAACAGTCTGCCCAGCACCCTCCCGCCCTGAGCCCGGCAGCCCTGCGCTCCGTTACAAAGGCCCTGGGCTCCGCTCCCGCCTCGGTCTCTGGGAATGCGTTTAGTAACCCGAGCCGCACCGGGGGCGGGGCTGGGAAGGGGTTAACCCGAAGAAAAAGCGGGAGGGGTGGGAGACAGGATTGGGGGAGTCTCAGAGGCTCCCCCAGAGCAGCGTGCTTCCTTGCTGAGCCCCTCTCATCTGGAACGGGTCCAGTCATTGGATTCTCTTGTTAGCATCTTCCAGTGTCCTCCTCTCCAGGCCCGCGCGTCCGCCGTCATCCCTCACCCCCCTTTAGCTTGGGGATAATGGACTTGTCTGGGGGCCCTCTGGGTTACGACACTTGCAGTAGAGCTGAAGGCTCGGAGAGCAAGCAGTAGGGGAGATCTGTCCAGGAGAGACCCCCGCTTCCTGTCGGTTAAGCAGGAAATTGAGGCCCAAAGAGCAGGAGACGCTGGCTGCAGGATGCACAGCGTGGAAAGGCAGGAACCGGCTAGAACTCAGGCCTTGGGATTCCAAATCCTGAACTTCAGTATCCTGTTCCACCTCTGTACCGCGTTGGACCTGCAGTCAAAGGCGAGACCACGGTGTCTAGCCACTGAGGTCTGTGGACGTGGCGCCACCTGCCGGCCAGGCTCAGGATGGCAACTGAGTCCCGAATCCGAAAGAGCAAGTGGGCGGAGTTCCAGATCTCAGACAGCCGGGGTTTGGAAATACATTTAGACATCTCTTTATTGTTTCTTAAAATGATTTTTAGCTGGGTGTAGTGGTTCACATGTGTAACGTTATCTTTAGAGAGGGCTGAAGCAAGAGGATTGCTACGAGTTTGAGGCCAGCCTGGGCTACGTAGTGTGTTCAGGTCAATCTAAAAAGATTTTGTTGTTGTTTGTTTTGTTTTGTTTTGCTTGAAACAGGGTTTCCATGTAGTCCCAGCTGGCCTAGAACTCGCTATATAGACCAGGCTGGCCTCTGTCTCACAGAGATATGTCTTCCTCTGCCTTCTGAGTGCTGGAATTGAAGGTGTACTCCAACGTGCCTAGCCTCAAAAAAGAAAGAAAAGAAAATTTAAAGCAATTTAAAATACATTTTCCAATAAAACTTATTTCATAAGACACATAAATGTAAGTTCTGTGTGACTTTTACTCCTAGAAATCTAAGCTTGTTTGGTGGGGAAACTGAGGCATGTAGAGAAGTGCAAGTTAGTGTCACATCTATTTGGAGTTCCTTCTAGTCTTGTGGTCCCTTCTCTGTCCTAACCTGTGTTCTCCTTTGGGGAGTCCTGGGGTTCTAGGGACTGAGCAAATTCCTCTCCCCTATTCACAGAGTTGCTATTTGTCGCTGCTGCCTAAGCCAGACACCTAGGAGGGGCGGCTGCACACAAGGTAGGTTCTTTCAAGTGGGATACAGGTGGGGGATGGAAGGGAGAGGGGCTGGAGGCTCCTTTGCCAGATGGAGAGATGGATGGGTTTGATAAGGAGGCTCAGCCTCCCTCCATCCCCACTAAGTTCCTGTCTCTGAAGCTTCCTGCAGGGTTCTAAACTGCCCACCTGCAAAGTGCACAAGTCTCCATCTGTGCCTGACCCCAACACCTTCAGTGCCAAGCCCCAGCGTGAAGAAACAGGTGTCCCTCAACTGGCAGCCACTGACGTAAGTGTATGATCTCTCCCCTGCCAGACTGTCCCTTGTCCCTCAGGGGCACCTAGCTTTGTCCCACAGCGCGCGTGTGCACACACACACACACACACACACACACACACACACACACCTTTCACTATCAATCTGTTTTCATTTCTTCCTTTTCCTGTCTGGCTCAATCACTGGGTCTTTAAATCTCCATCTGTTTGTCTCTATGTCCTCTGTTCTGTTCATCCCCGGTCCTCTTATGAGGCTTAAGTATCCCCTCTCCCTGTTTCTAAGTCTTTCCTCTCCTGTCCTCTCCCCTCACTCCATTCCCCCATTCCCCTTCTTTTCACCCATAGTCTTGTCATTTTCCCCTCCAAGTATATCTCTAAAGAACACCCAAGCCTGCTCCCCATAAAAGGAGTTGGTCAAGAGCCACCACTGGTAGAACTGATGGCTTAGGAGCCCCTGCCCTTGAAGGGGAGGGGATGTCAATTGAACTACGGTGACAGCCTCTTCCCCGCCCCTCCCACCCAGTTTGCAGGAGGCTCGAGCCCTGCTGAAGCGAAGGCGGCCCCGAGGGCCGTGGGCCCGGGCACTACTGAAAAAGAGGCCCCCACATCGCGCCCCTGCCGGCCAGTCCCAGGGTAAGAACATCCGCCCTTCCTCCGCTTGGGGGCCGGGGGGTTCCGGGCCAGATAAAGCCGTCTGGTTCCCACGGTGCTGCCGCCGCCTACCCGTCCCCCATAGTAGCTCAGCCCCCCGCCCGACGCGGCCACCTCTAGGGACCCTGGCGTCCGGCAGTACGAGGTGAGCCCGGGACAGAACTAGACGCAGGCCAAAGGCGCTGACCCATGGGGTGGGGCCGGGAAGCCAGGCGTCCGGGCTCCCGCGACTGAAGTGAGGGGGGCAACTGGCCCAGCGGAGAGAGAGGCTGAACCAGCCCAGACAACAAAAGCGATTGTGCGGGTTGGCGCCTGCCCGGGCACTGAATGCTCAAGATTGCAGGACGGCTGGGGGCCAAAGGCCACCCCCTCTTACTCTCCGGACACTCCCTTGACCCCACTTCTACTCCAACTCGTACCCCCTAACTACAACACCCTCTAGACTCGACCACCCTCAAAAGTTCCCCTCCTGCTGTGGCCTTCAGCCCAGATGTGTCCCCTCCTCCCTAAAGTTTTCCAGATGTGGGCCCTGGGCCAGAAGTGAAAAGAGACCCCCCCCCCAGCCCAGAACCTGACCCATCCATCCTTTCTTTAAACATCCCGGCCTCTCCCTCCAGGTGTACAGAGTCCTGTCCTGATGTGGCATCTTCAGGTGTAAACCCCGTAGCCTTCTCCCCAGGATCAGCCACTCCCTAACCATTCTTTCATGTGCCCCTGTGCACCGGCCCTTCCCCTCTCCCGCAGATGTACCACCTGGCTGCCCAGATGGGCTATGATTATCCCCTACTTTGGACGAAGCCCCTTTCCTGGTGCCTAGTTAGAGGATCAGCCTTTAGCTGACTCCCCAAATGAGGCCCCCACTCTTTATGGACTTCCTCTGTATGGATTGAGTTCTGTCTGGGGGGAAACCCGCCCGCCCCCACCTGTTCCCTTCCCGGCTGCTTGCCTGCCAGCCCCATCCACTTGTTGGAGCTCCCGTGGGAGCAGAGGGGTCGCCCCCCCATTCCCCCTGTGAGTCTAGCGCCTGGCCTTCGCGCCTCTGGCTAGTCGCCCAGCCCCACGCGCCCCCGCGCGGCCGCCGGGGAGGGAGTGGTGGGGAGGGGGGG